TGTTTTTTGGGTGTTGAGTTTGATAGGCTCTTTATAGATTTTGGATACCAACCCTTTATCTGATATGTTGTTTGCAAATATCTTCTCGCATTCCATTGGTTGCCTTTTAGTTTTGCTGATTGTTTCCTTTGCTGTGCAGAAAGTTTTTATTTTGATTAAGTCCCAATTGTTCATTTTTGCTTTTGTTTCCCTTGCCTCCAGAGACGTGTTGAGTAAGAAGTTGCTGCGGCCAAGGTCAAAGAGGTTTTTGCCTGTTTTCTCCTCGAGGATTTTGATGGCTTCCTGTCTTACATTGGGTCTTTCATCATTTTTTTAGGTTTGTTTTTGGTGTATGGTATAAGAAAATTAGTTCAGGTTCCATTCTTCTGCATATGGCTGTCCCGGATTTTCCCAACTGTTTTCCCAGCACCACTTGCTGAAGAGACTCTTTATTCCACTGGGTATTCTTTCCTGCCTTGTCAAAGATTAGTTCGCCATACATTTGTGGGCCCATTTCTGGGTTCTCTATTCTGTTCCATTGATCTGAGTGTCTGTTTTTGTGCCATAGTATTATTAATTCTGAAGTTCCTGTGCCTAGATACTAAGTTTTCAAGAAATATTGACTCAACAAATGAATGAATACATAAATACAAGAAATGAGTAGTTAAGCCTTTAGGATATGTTAATTCCCTGCTTTAGTAAGTTCTATCCATTTTTATGGGCTGATAACTTTGAGTCAAAACACACTCATTGTGTACATTGCTGGACAAAACTAGTTGCAAAATGTTCTATCAAGAATTAATCTTATGGGATGCAAAATCAGTCCAATAAGCATTTATTGAATACCCAAGGAAGATCCACTTGAGGGAGACGTAAAATTACTTCTCAAAAAACAATCACATCAATCTTTAGAAAGAAGAAACTATTGTCATACAGCTCAAATATTATCTTCAAAGAGAAACAAAGTCCTATTTGATTTTCAGTACTGTCCTCAATGGCAAAATTTAATTCTTAATTACTTCAAACATAATGTAACGACAGGGGTGCCTGGGTAGCTCAGTCACTTAAGTGCCCGACTTTGGCTCAGGTCATGATCTCACCGTTTGTGACTTTGAGCCCTGCATTGGACTCCATGTTGACAGTGCAGAGCCTGTTTCAGATTCTCTCCCTCCCTCCCTGCCCCTTCCCCTTATGTGCTTGCTCTCTCTCAAAATACATAAACTAAAAACAAAACAAAAAAACCCAATGTAGCTACATAGTTAGGAAAAAGAGTATACAAGGTAACAGTAAAGACTCTCCACCTCAGCCTGAATCCTCTCAGTTCTCAAATCTTCTATAGACTCGTTTTCTTCAACATTTATTTATTTTTGGGACAGAGAGAGACAGAGCATGAACAGGGGAGGGGCAGAGAGAGAGAGGGAGGCACAGAATCGGAAACAGGCTCCAGGCTCTGAGCCATCAGCCCAGAGCCTGACGCGGGGCTCGAACTCACGGAGTGCAAGATCATGACCTGGCTGAAGTCGGACGCTTAACCGACTGCGCCACCCAGGCGCCCCTATAGACTCGTTTTCTAATGTGTCCTTCCAAAGATTTTTTTAAAGGAATAAACAAACGTTTATATAATTTTCTCATCCCATTTCCTCCTAGTGGTAATACATTATAAGCACTGTTCTGCATCTTTTAAAAATATATATACATTAGAACTATCTTCATATCAGTAGGTAAACAGCTTTCATTCTTTTTTATAGCTCTGTAGTATTCCATTATGGATGTTCCCTAATTTATTCAACCGATTCCATAAAGACATTTGATTCCATTCTCGTTATTAAATATACCATGAACAACAAATAACTTCATAGACATATTGCTGTACTTAATTGCAAATATATCTTAAGATAAACTCCTGGAATTGGAACCACTGAGTCAATGAATACATATATTTGTAATCTTAACAGATACTAATTGCCTTCCATAACAATTTTTATACCCTAGCCAGAATATATGAAAATGGCTCATTTATCATCCTGGATGTTATGCTGTTAAATCACTTATGGACCTTTCTGTGAATCAAATATATCAGGATTGTTTCCTTGTGGTAGGGGTGGGGCAGAGTGTCAGATTGACTAGGAGGGGCACAAAGAGGGGCGCTGGGTACATTGCCAACTTACTGTCTCAGTTGCAAATCCACCCTTCTTTGCCCAACTTTGTGGCTCTGAAACTGGATCCTGTAAACATTTTTCCTTTGGAACATTAGGCTTTTTCAACAGAAGGCACAGGAGTGACAGCACAAGGCTATTGTGTCAGGAAGACTCCTTCCTTCTAGATTCCAGCCTCCATTATGACCTTTTAAGCATTGGAGCTCAGCAGCCCGTACCTGTCTATTTGCGTCCTCCGGCCTCTCTATCCCCACCAACTCAGCTTCTCCACACCAGTTCCCACCTGCCCTCTGGCAAGTTCCTCTGTCACCCCTTGAAACAACTGTGGTAGCCGCACCCTTTTCAAAGCGTCTGAATCTCAGTCTTTCGGGAAAAGAGACATTCTCTAATTTCTGGTTCCCTTATTTTCTACCCTCCTTCAGCTTAGAAGCAGTAGCTGTTTTGCTCCTGCTACTTTTCTTTAAAGTTGTCTTCATTTACTTCGTATCAGCTAACAGTTTCTCATATTACATTTTTCTTGTTCAAATAGCTGATGTGATTTCTGTCTGACTGTACCCTGGCTGATGTGTTCCATGTGATCATCTTGCAAAAATTCGACTTCTACTTAAAAATTGTGCACTTTTGCAGGTCTTATTTTTGGTATACAATTATCTGAATTGGTAAATACACAGATACATACAAATACACTGATAAATGTGTATTACTGAAGGATCATGAACATATTACCTCTTAGTTCCTGTTATAGATCGTTTCTTGGTAATTTTAAGCTAGAGACAGTCCATATTTAAGCAGGGCACATTTTCTAAGGGTTCAAAGTATTCCACAGTTGTCTTAGATTATACTCTTAAAAATTAAATATCTCAAAGTAGGCTTATTCTCCATTTTACCCCAGGACTTGAGAATGTCTGGAGCATAGAGGAATTCAACAAACACCTGGTTGAGTGTAGTATATATTGCAGACATATGGTACCCTTAGCAGGCTGTTATCAGGAAGAGGCTTAAATCCACATGGGGTTGACCCGAATGACAGCCTAACCTCTGCTGCCTGTCCAAAGCTTCTACAGACATTCAGTTGCAAACCCTCTCTCTCTTCCCTTTGCTCGGAATCTTTGTTCTAGGAAGGCAGTTAAACAAGACATTTTATCACTCTGCCATTTCTAATGGGTGTATGGGGTGGCAGGTCAGAGAAGAGGCGACCCTGAGATCCCAGGAGACCAAAGGAAGGTTATGCCCAAACCAACCTCTACTTAAATTGGCACAGATTGTTTCTCTCTATATCACACTGCTGTAGAATGTTACCTCACTTAATTCTAATAACCAAGGATAGGTTTTATGATCTTAAAGTAACTTGCCACACAAATATCAGAATATGTATCTGGGACTGTCTGTCGTTTCTCTTTTGCTAGTCTCTCAGATGGGGGCAATGAAATAACCTAGGAAAAAAAATCTCCGTGGATGGAAGGGCCTTTATTTGATGTACTCATTCTAGAAGATTCTAACCTTCAGAAACTTAAATTCTTAGTATCTCAGAGGAAGCAACTTTTTTAACGTATCCCCAGCCCACTTGAATACACTTTAAGATACCCTGCAGCATGAGACCACCCACAGTTCTTGTGTGGTTGCTTGTCTAATCATAGTGCAAGTGGCTGAGGGGGTATATATTTTAAAAATCAGAATGTAGTTGGAATTTGGGCTAGCTTACTTGCAAAATTAAGACAATTCCTCTTCAGTTTTTAAAAATTCAGATTATTTTTACTAAAAGTCTCACTAACATCTTGGTAACTAGGATAAAAAAAACCAACTATATAGGTGCAGAATTAACATTTTTGGAGTTGTGCAACAGACAAAGTACACCTAGAGAACATAAAAATTCTTTATTTAACCTAATCCAGCCAGTATTGAGATAGTCTGCTATATTAAAAACAAGACGTTTAAAAAAATTACAGCACAGTTAGCAAGGCAGTGACTAATTAAGTCACTAAGTTTAATTTTATATTCTTCACAGTCATTTGATAATCATGTAATGAGGAACAACATTTTCGGCCACTTTGGAGATAAGTTAACTTCTGCAAAGAAGAGAATTCTACTAGTTGTCACTGAATTTTATAAAAGAGGTTTAAAACATTAAAGTTTATAGAAATAACACAGTAAAGCAATGTGAAATTAAACAGGAAAACACAAAATATATCCACCCATCCCAAAAGTCTGTAACATCCCGTTAATCTGTCCCCTAACACCATTCTCTTACCTCTCCTTTTCCTTTTCATAGAGCACGAACAGACTAAATTAAGAAACAGCTACTGCTCTGTAGGGGCTATTTCGAGCCTAAAGTGCCTCTATTCCTTTAATTTCTCAGTTAATCCTAGAAATGGTCTTCTGAGATAGAAGTATTACTTGCATTTCAGAGATGAAGAAAACTGTAGCTGAGAGAAAGCCACTTGGCCAAGGTATGCATCCAGTTGTTAAAAGCAGAATCAGAATTGGAACCCAGGTCCATCTAACTTTAGTCAGCCCATGCTCTTCTATTGTTCATGGTGGTGCAAGCCACCTTTCTGAAGACTGGTACACAGAACTTTCTGAGCGAAGGTTTTTGGGATTTAGAAGTCTTCAATTCCAGGGCTAGAGGCCACTCTGGTCCCCAGGCACTTGCAATTCCCTCCCCATAGCTCTAGAAAACCATCCCTGCTGCCCCCAAAGGATTAGAGTTGTTTCCTTGGCCCTCAAGAACCCTGATGCCAATAAACGCAAAAGCAGCTACTCCCCCCCCCCCCCCCCCCATCTTCGGCATGAAAGTAGTAACTGGGGAACAGTGTGCTTGTATAATTTTATTAAAGGTTGCCTAAAAGCTGTTCTATATAACAAAATTATGCAGGAAATATCTACTATGTCTTCTTATATTGAAAATTAAAGAAAAGCCAATATATTTTATAATTACAGCAATATAATCTAAGTTATTTTTATATATACTCATAGATTTTATATTTCCCCTTTACAACTGCAGCAGTGTTCTTAATAAGGCTCACTGTCAGTCAAATATTCCCTTCCTCCCAAAATAATTACAACTCTGAATGTTCAACAGCCATTCACATAAACTTTATAAGACAGGATTAAGACATTCATACTATAGAAAGGTACCAGTCTTAAATTACTAAAGTTTAACATACATTATTGCAATCTAACATAGCTCAATCTATATTTGCTACACTCCTAAAGAGAAGTGGCCATGTATCAGTAAGGGAAACGTTTATTACTGTCATGCATTACATACTGTGAACAAGAAAATAAATAGGGTTTTTGGAACTATCTTTTAAAAATTTCAGTTAATGAAAATAACTGCAAGACCATTCAGATTGAACATTAAAAGGGCCACTATTAAAAATGGCTTAAAATAAATAATTGCTTTTTAAAAAATGAACATAAAAACTAGTTAAACAGTGATTAAGGTGCTAGCCTCATCAACACGACAAGCAATTAAAATCTAAAAACATTAGTATTGGATTTAATAAATGGACTTAAGCCAAAAAACAATAACCTCAATATTTACTCAAGACTTCTTGTTTTCATAATGATCTTCTTGCTGACTGATATAAAAACAAAGAGCTCAAGTAAACCTCACCTTGGTTTACGCACTGCTGGTTTTCTATCTGTTGAAACTAGATGGTAAACTGCATAAAAGCAGAAACCAAATCGTCTTGCTCACCACTGTATCCCACAGCACTTTGTACAATGCCTGGGCAAATAGGAGGTGATCAACAAATACCTGAATAACTGAATCAATGAAAGAGAAGAGTAAAATAACTTTATTGATTTTTTTTTGCAAACCGTTCTCTGTGCTCAAACTACTATAAACTGGCAGCTCTAATTTCTAGAAATATGGATTTAAAAACTGTACTCCAGTGATTGAAGGACCCGACGACTCTCTCCCTTTCTCTCTTTTTTTTTTTCCTTTCTCTCTCTTACATGCATGCACGCGCGCACACACACACACACACACACACACACACGACTACATGAGTCAAAATTACATTATGAGCTATGAGATGTCGACATTATATAAATAAAATTTAATAGTGAAAAAGTGATTTGGAAGCCCTGTGAATTTTTACCCTACACATTTTGGAGGACGTCACATGGGTTAAGAAAAACACAACAAAATTGCATTTGTTCAGATAATCATTTGAATGTTTACATACATTTTTGGTTTGTTATTTTTTATAACTAATTTACATTTCCTCATATTAACATATATTCCTGTTTAGCATGTAATCAAATTATGCCAGTGAGAAAAATCCTCATAGTACCTTCATTGAGTTGCTGATTCTAAGAAAACACTGAACATGAACATGTACAAAAGAGGCATTTGAATAAAACAGCATGTGCATTTTTAAATATTTGCACAGTTTGATCTTTACATTTCTGTCTGGAGAAAATATGAACAAAACCCAGGTCTACCATGCTAAGATAATGGTTCAGATGACTGCCATAAAAGAAGTACATACAAAACAATGAAAACAAATCACAACCTTAGGTTCCGTGATTACTGAGAGGATTTCCCCTGCCCTAAGTGCTTTATTCTATTTCTTAAAAATATGAGCAGCAGCTTATCATAAGTCTCCACTACTGTGCATTAATGATGGAATCAACAACACAACAGACTCATAAGGATGATAGGACTGCAGAACAACTAGAAGTCACAGTTTTATGCTTCTTCTTGCTCTGGATAATTTAGAATTTTGCGGTGTGCCTGACGTAAATATTGCTGTTGTTTGAAGTAAACCTTGAATGCTCCTTTTATGGCAACAAAAGCAATTCCACCCTAAAATAAAAATGAAAAGCTTTTTATAATGCAGATTTAGAGAAACATAATAACATAATTTTACTTAGATCAGAAAAGACTAGCCATTGCTGCTAATTCAGATGAACGCAAATGAGACAGTTCTCTTTTCTACTTAGGGGGTAAGACAGGCAGGATCACTACACCCAACAGAGATACCTTCCCTGTTTTTTTTTTTTTTTAAATATTTATTTATTTTGAGAGCAAGAGAGAAAATCAAGCAGGCTCTGTGCTGCCAGTGCAGAGCCTGATGTGGGCTTGATCCTACGAACCGTGAGATCATGACCTGAGCCAAAATCAAGAGTCGGAGACGCTCAAATGACTGACCCACTCAGGTGCCCCCTTCCCTGTTCTCCTATTGAGGTAATCTTCTCTCCACTTAGCTTGACGTCCATTCTGATATAGCAGGGAGAAGGCTTGGGCACATGTGCAGGCTGCTATCAGAGAAGGGAAGTGGGAGGAATAACAATGATAGCAAACAATACAAGGGCATATTATGTGCTAGCACTTCAAATGAACTATTTAATCCACCACATAACCTTGATGTAGCTACCAATATGATCTTCATTTTACAGGCACAGAGAAGTGAAGAAATTTGATTTAGGTTTCTCAGCAAGGCAGTTATCTGTGATAGGATATGAACCAGGCAGTCTGATCCTAGAGCTGAGGCTATTCACCAAAATCTTGTTGGCAAGGATGGGTGTGATAATTCATGCCTATTCTAGGAGAGACATCACCTGCAGCATAGTTCCAGAAGGCCAGAAGTAATGCAAAGGATCTTCCCCTCTTTCTTGCTATTGGATAACAGTGGGGATCAAATAGAACCTCAAGGCACAGAAGCCACAGAATGAGTATTTATGAAGTCCCACTGTTTTTTTTTTTTTTTAAACACAGTTCCTTCTCTTTTGTATAGTCACTTGGGAAAAAAAAAAAAAAAGGTAGTATTAAAACCATCTTACCAAGATTGTCCTTTGTAAATTAGAGTTAACACTACTGAACATCAGTTTACCAACTATTGTTGCAATAGTAGGAAAGACAAGGGCTCCACACAAAATTCGGGTAGCAGAGACGTGATCTGCTAAAGGATTAGCCTCAGCTGGAATTCGAGGAACAGGACAACCAATCCCTGTTGGGGGGGAAAAAGAAATGGAGGTATTAATGCTAATAAATCACAATAGCTAAAATATCTTCACATGTTAAGATTCTTCCACAAGGTTAATCTGGTGTGCTCATTATAACCACAATTCAGGGCCTTACCTGGAAATATACTGTTCAAAATTTGTAGTTTATTTGAGTATTTGCGCCATAGTCTAAGCACGTAGTCTTCCCAGCGAATCATCTTGCCTAATATCAGCATGACAGGAATAGTAGGAAGTCCAATTAAAAGGAATAAAGGATCAGCTCTTTCCATAACATCCAGACCTTCTTTATGGCCTACAACCTGTGAAACAAACCGCATTCACTAGAATCATTTCCTTATCTAATGAAAGGTTGCATGCTTGAGCTGAATTCATTTTAGAGGAAATGGTAAATTTTGAAATAAAAATATAAAAAGTTTTAAAAATAAGTCAGAAAGTTATCAGTCCTGATTTATTTATGTCTCTCTCATTCAAAGGAAAAAAAGCTCCTTCATATTATATTGGAATAAAAGCTTTAAAAAACAGTGGGGTGCCTGGGTGGCTCAGTCGGTTAAGCATCCAACTTCAGCTCATAATCTTGTGGTTTGAGGGTTTGAGCCCCATGTTGGGCTTCTTGCTGTCAATGTGGAGCCTGTTTTGGATGCTCTGCCTCCTCCCCTGCTCATACTCTCTCTCTCTCTCTCTCAAAAATAAATATTGAAAAAAAAAAAAGGTTGAGGGCACATGCACCCCAATGTTCATAGCAGCACTATCAACAATAGCCAAAGTATGGAAAGAGCCCAATGTCCATTGATGGATGAAGGGATAAATATGTGGTATATATATATACTAATGGAGTATTACTCGGCAATCATAAAGAATGAAATCTTGCCATTTGCAACTATGTGGATGGAACTAAAGGGTATTGAAAGACAAGTATCATATGACTTCACTCATGAGGACTTTAAGATACAGATGAACACAAGGGAGGGAGGGAGACAAAACATAAGAGACTCTTAAATATGGAGAACAAACAGAAGGTTACTGGAGGGGTTGTGGGAGGCAGAATGGGCTAAATGGGTAAGGGGCGTTAAGGTATCTACTCCTGAAATCATTGTTGCCCTGCTAATTTGGATGTAAATTTAAAAAAAGGTTGACCCACACTGATTACATTTCAATAGAGGGAAGGGGATTTCTGGTTATTTTATTCCTCTTGTTTGATATGGTTAGACTGGGCTATAATTCTAGGTCCTGTTTGTCCTCCAGCAGAGCATCTGTTTTTCTGCTCTTCCTACTAGGGTAAGCATAACCAAGGGGCAGAACCAGCCTTTAGGAGATGGCCCAAAAGCTCACTTCTCTTTGGTTCTTTCTCCATACTCAGTGATCTCTGGTATAGAGTGATTTTTCTGGCTGGCTAAATGCTTGTTCTACAGACCAAACTCTGCTAAAATTCAATTCTAAGATCTACATTTGAGTGACTGCAGTTTTTGCTACAGGTTCCAGTCATTTTTCTAATCTAGGAACCCTAGGGTATCCTAACTCTAGGGTAAAGAAGCTAAAACAATCCTTTCCCTCTCATCTGGGTCTTAGGGTTATTTCTCCACTGGTTTAGATCCCAGAGGGCAAGAAGGATATGATTATTTTTTTAAAATGTTTATTTATTTTTGAGAGAGTGAGTGAGCACGAGGGAGGGGCAGAGAGAGAGAGAGAGGGAGAGAATCCCAAGCAAGCTCTGTGCTATTAGCTCAGAGCCCAGCTCAGGGTTTGAACCTATGAACCGTGAGATCATGACCTGAGCTGAAACCAAGAGTTGGTCACTCAATTAAATGAGCCACCCAGGCACCCCAGGATATGATTCTTTTTTTTTTTTTTTTTTAATTTTTTTTTTCAACGTTTATTTATTTTTGGGACAGAGAGAGACACAGCATGAACGTGGGAGGGGCAGAGAGAGAGGGAGACACAGAATCGGAAACAGGCTCCAGGCTCTGAGCCATCAGCCCAAAGCCCGACGTGGGGCTCGAACTCACGGACCGCAAGATCGTGTGACCTGGCTGAAGTCGGACGCTTAACCGACTGCGCCACCCAGGCGCCCCCAGGATATGATTCTTACTTGTGAATCTCCATACATTCCTCTCCCAGGAAAATTCTTTTTACTCCATCTTGGCCTTATACTTCTCTCAACATCTCCATTTTATTGGTGAGCTTCTTAGTTTTAACTGGGGAACTTCTCTGAAAATTCTCTTTCAAACGTCTCAAATGATCTTCCCTTTAGCCAAAGTCTCAATCGCTTCCAAATTAAACCTATTTCTCTGAGGGATTATTTTTGGCAGTTATGACAGAAGAGGACGATTTCAGAATCTTGGGCTTTTAGCCCACCCAGGTATCACAGTGAGGACAGCTGTGGAAGGAAGACACTACTATAAAAACTCCAAATAGTTTTTCTGATCACACTTGAGGAGTAAGCCATGAAGAGAGGACTGGGAAGAAACTGTCTCTTTGGAAGCGAGGAGGTAAAAGGAAGGAAGGATAGGCAAGGAGGGAAGGAAAGAAAGAAGGCAGGGAAAACTCAAAGTGCCAGGTACACTCAGGAAACAAGCTCATGAAAAAGTAAATGGGATTTTTTTTTTTTTTCAAAAACGAGATGCTCTTCATGTCAACTATCATAGCAAATTTTTTTACTACTACATAGCAAATTTTTCACTATTACAAGGACGTGTGAAATAAGGTCAAGCTGAGAATGGTAAGAATAAATTGAAATTCTAGACAACACATTCAATCCAGGTAAAAATATTTTATACGTACATGGAGAGCACCAAAATGGATGCTTTAAAATCTGAGCTAGGGATATAGTCCAGGTTTGTACTTCATTATCTAACCACAGTGTAATATTAAAGGGCAGGAGGCCAGCCTCTTCTCAGTGGCCAGAAACCAGGTATAGATATCTAATATTCTTCTGTGTCTCCTTGTAGAAACTTGACACCTTGTATGTGAAGGATGACTGTTCTGAGTTGCCCTCAAGTGAAAGAGTCTGGTTCACAATACAGTTGATCCTTGAACAACATGAGTTTTGTATATAACTGGTCCACTTATATATAACTTTTCTTGATTTGTCAGTGCCCCTAATCCCCATGTTGTTCAAGGGTACACCGTATTTCATAAACCCTAATCCCATACTGGGGACAAATGTGGATTAGCCCAGAGATTGTGTATTTACCTATGCTTTTTGAGGAATATTTCATTTTTATATCATTTTATTTTTTCTTTTTTAATATTTATCTTGGAGAGAGAGAGAGCACAAGTGGGGGAGGTTCAGAAAGAGAGGTAGACACAGAATCTGAAGCAGGCTCCAGACTCTGAGCTGTCAGCACAGAGTCGGACAAGGGGCTTGAACCCACCAGCTGTGAGGCCATGACCTGAGCCGAAGTTGGGAGGCTAAACCAACTGAGCCACCCAGGTGCCCCTCATTCTATTATTTTCAGTTTAATGATCACATATAAAGTTACAACTAAATGTGATTTAAATATTCTCAAAGTGCTAGCAAATAAATTCAGAAATCTGAAAAATCCCTTTTGTGGGTTATGCTATTCTTTTTAAAATTTGGGGTTTAGAAATATAAAGCAGAGTGAATATTCAGGTAGAGACTACAGTAAGGCACAGTTTATTTCTCATGGGTAGTGGTAAAAACCTTACAACCAGGTATCTCAGAGTGAGGAAACAAAAAAGGAAATTGGGCAAACTGAGCAAAAGGCCCACTGCCCAATTTCTTATACCTAAAGTCGACAGAGATGCTTTATACTCAAGCTGGGCTCACCATGCACGCATACCTGCATGCATTCATTCAACTGAATACTGACTGTGTGCCAGAAATAGGCCTAGGTGTTGCGGATAAAATGGTGAGCTAAACAGATGTCTTTTGGAGAGGAGAGAGACAAATTAAACAAGCATGCAAATATAAATGCTAAAATGGAAACAATAGTATAACTATAGTATACCCCCTGCTACTATAATCAGACTCAAGGGCAGTAAATGAGGACTGAGTAAAGCAATGGGGCTGATTTAACTTTGGTCAAAACAAACCCAGCATACCTTGGGTATCAGCAGGAACATTCTGGTTTTATGCTCCAAGATTTCAAAACAGGTTATTTTTAAGACTTCAATTTGGGGGTGAGATTCAGGAACTATAGAATGTCTTCTCTAAGAATTTGTTATCTGTGTATAAAATAAAGACCTAGGAATTGTAGGTTTAAAGAAAGGTTTGTTTCTCTGCTTGAGGCCTAAAAGCTAGTTCTTCATATCCAGGAGTGCACCAATGTTGAAAGGCTAAGAGTTTTAACCTGATCTTTTTTTTTTTTTAATTTTAGAGAGAAAGAAGAGTGCAAGTGGGGGGAAAGGGTAGAGGAAGAGAGAGACTTTAAAATTTATTTATTTATTTACTTACTTACTTACTTACTTACTTACAGAGAGAAAGAGACATGGGAAGGGCAGAGAGAGAGGGGGGCAGAAAGAAAGGGAGACAGAATCCCAAGCAGGCTCTGCACAGCTCAAACTCACAAACCCTAAGTTCATGACCTGAGCTGAAACCAAGAGTCAGCTGCTTAACTGACTGAGCCACCCAGGTGTCTGAGAGAGAGAGACTCTTAAGCAGGTTCCATACTCAGTGCAGAGCCTAACAAGGGGCTCAATTCCAAGGGATCATGACCTGAGCCAAAATCAAGAGTCGGATGCTCAACTGACTGAGCCACCCAGGCACCCCCTAATCTGATCTTTTAAATCACTTCCTTTTAGGACCCTACTTTTATTTTTTAAATTATTATTATTATTTTAAAAATCTACCTTTTTTCCCAAGTTCATTCACTTATTTTGGGAGAGAGAGAGACAACAAGCATGGGGGAAGGGGCAGAGAGAGAAGGGAGAGAGAAAATTTAAGCAGGCTCCGGCACTGTCAGTGCAGAGCCTGATGTGGGGCTCGATCCCACAAATTATGAGATCATGACCCAAGTAGAAACCAAGAGTTGGACGCTTAACTGACTGAAACACCCAAGTGCTCCTATGGCCCTACTTTTAAATAGGAGAATGAACAGTGATGAATTAAGAGGTTTTCTTAGTCAGACTTAAGGATAGTTAAGTGTAGTATATGAGTTAAGAACTGACAATGCTTATGGGGGTTATTTTTACACCAGAGGGAAAAATGGAACGAAAATGGACATGAAGGTGGTTGTTCCAGAGTAAAATGTTCCCACTGCCTGTGGAACAAAGTTTCACTTAAGGAGCCCTAGATTAGGGACAGGGGTCCTAATGCTTCTTCCTTACTGTGTGGTATTGGACACGTAAACTTGCCAAATTTGTAAGCTAGGAATAATTAATAGTATCTAGATCACACGATTGATGCAAGGTTTAAAAACATCAGTGCTGGAAGGTGTTTAGCCCTGTGCTGGGGGAAAAAAGTTACCTATCACACGTTGTCTTTTCAATAAAAAGATAAGCAGAAGGTCTCAAGTTCCTCACAACTAATTGGGATTTAACTTAAGACTGGCTCGTGGAGAAATAAATGGGAAAAGAATAGTGGTCTGATTCCTTAACCTAATATACTTGTACTTTAGAGTAGTCAGAGAACAAAAGGAAAAGAAAACCGTCAAGGGTTAAAAAGAAAACCCTAAATACTGCTGATGGTATAAGTGGGGCACATTCCCTAACAAATATGCTCAGAAAGGTAAAAAGTCTTCCCAATACAATTAAATCATATGATACCTATCTACCTGCCTACCATCTGTAATCTACTGTAATCTCTCTCATTCAGGGCTTAAAAAAATCTTTCCAAGTGCCACAGTGTATATGAAGATTATTTCTAAGTGGTAACACAAAATATATGTATCATCATAATTTTAGTCTTTTTCTTTACCATCACCATTAACCAACATGTTCATTTTTGTCTCCTTGCTTGTATCTCCTCTACAGATCCAAATTATTGCCTTCAAGAGTCAGCTCCAGACTTACTTTCTATGAAACTTCAAACGATCTTTCATTGTACTGAATTAAAATACTGTTTATGTAGTCTTCTGTACTCTTCATATTTGTTTACATAATGTTGTAACTGTTTTCCAGTTGTTCACTTACGTACAACTTGTCTTAGAACTATATTCCTTGGGCCTGGGAATCATTAACAAATTTCTTTTAAGATTGAGTGATGCTTGGAGTCCCTGGGTAGCTCAGTTGGTTAAGCGTCTGACTATTGGTTTCGGCTCAGGTCATGATTGTACAGTTAGTGGCTTTAAGCCCCACATTGGGCTCCATGCTGGCAGTGTGGAGCCTGCTTTGGATTCTCTCCCTCTCTCTCAAATTAAATTTTTTTTTTTCAACGTTTATTTATTTTTGGGACAGAGAGAGACAGAGCATGAATGGGAGAGGGGCAGAGAGAGAGGGAGACACAGAATCGGAAACAGGCTCCAGGCTCTGAGCCATCAGCCCAGAGCCCGACGCGGGGCTCAAACTCACGGACCGCGAGATCGTGACCTGGCTGAAGTCGGACGCTTAACCGACTGCGCCACCCAGGCGCCCCCCCTCTCTCTCAAATTAAAAAAAAAAAGATTGAGTGAGCCTAAAATCTTTACTCAAAAAGAGCCATCCTATTTCTTGTAGTCAATTAGGTATTAAGAGAAATCACTCAATCTCATGGGGCCTTAGTTTCCTCACCTGCAAAAAATATAGATATACATCCGTATTGTACATTCAATAATGTATATATCTGCTCTAAGTTTTTGTGTCTTCGTCAGTACTAGTGAACTACCTAAACCTCCCTGAACTAATGATGTACTCATTAATCAAAACTGGAGTTTTAATTTATTTTATTTAATTATTGCGGAGAATATAATCAAATAAACCTGCTACTACCTGACAGAACTAGTCATATAAAAAAAACCCCACGATATTTATGAAAGCCCTTTAAGTATTAGTCTCTGTGTATATGCTATAACAGGAATACCTAAGTGTAAGACAGTCTCTACTTTCAAGGAAATTACTTTTTAAAAAATATTTGAGAGAGAGCAAGAGAGAGTGTGAGTGGGTGCAAGCAGGGGAGGGAAGGAGAGCGGAGAGAGAGAATCCAGTGCAGAGCCCCACGTGGGGCTTGATCCCACAAACTGTGAGATCAAGACCTGAGCCAAAATCAAGAGTCGGACACTTAACCAACTGAGCCACCCAGCACCCCTCAAGGAAATTACCTTCTAATAGGAAAAGCAAAGGGCTGAATATAGGAAAAATTAAATAACTTCAGTAATCTATATCAATATCACTTGGTCAGCACAAGATTTGCTGCCATTTAAAGAATGACAGTGGCAGGAGTTGTCTGGTTAGTTTCAGGAGGGAAAAGCAGCTGAACTAAGCCTGAAAAGAGTTCAGATTTGGAGAAGTAGAGAAGAGAATGGAGAGACAGGTATGAGGCAGGGAGGGTGGCAAAAGCCAAAGGACAGAGGTAAAAAACTAAACAGGAGCAAAAGGATAGGATGCAGGGGACAGCCCAATAGGCCTCAAAGTAGAATGAAGTAAGACTATGAAGGATTTGGCATAACAAATCAGGTCAAGGAAACAGAATCTTTTTTAAGTCAGTGGTTCTTAATCTTTATCCATTACACTCATGACAAATGATGGTTTACTATTTGTAATTCATTCTAGTGACTACATCCAGATTTTGGGGGTATCCTCAACGCTTCATGAAGAAACCTTGCAATACTCTGTTTCACCATGACTAAACAACCAGAAAGGCTACTTACCATGGACCTGGCATAGGCAAGTTATGTGCAATTTCTAGAATATTACATAGTGTGTAAACTATTACTGAGTTACTTATGAAACACTTACCCAATCTAACTGCTGCATTGGAAGTCCTACTTAAGACAGAGGAGACAGCTTGGAGTAGATATTGAAGGGATTATTTTAGGAAGATTAATTTGGAAGCATGGACTGACAGAAGAGAATGAAATTAGAGAAACCAATCAAAAGGTTCCTTTAGCCATTCGGTATGATAGGGGAGTGACAACAAAGTCAGGTGTTATAAAGACTGTGGAAAGGAAGCTACGGATACTGGTCAGTGGACTGGAGATAGGGCTACGAAGCAGAAAGTTAAAGGTAATCCTAAGAATGTAGGATATAAACCGAGTAGATGGGAAAATGATAGTAGCAATCAGAGGTATAGAGAAATAATAATATTATAAAATATAAATAAATTTAGGTTTCAAATTGAGGAAAAGACCAGTTTGATTTCAGAAATCCTGAGTGTGAAATCACAAGTGGTCACATAAGGAGAAGGGTCAAGCTGCAATGGCAGGACTGCTTTTGAGGATAGAATAGGGCAAAAGATGTAGATCTAACCATAAAAGGCACACAGCTGATAGCTGGAAATCATTAGGGAAAAAGTATAAAGAGAGGAATCAAGGGCCTGGGACTAAATCTTGAAATTTAATCTAATAATCTTCACCGACAGTTATTGATTGTAGCAAAAAACGGGAAGTAACTAATTTCTAATCAACAACAGACTGGTTGGTAAATTGTTCTAATTCCATATGTAGAATGGTATGCAGATTTCTGCATACTTATAAAAAGATCTCCAAGATTCACTGTTTGTAAAAAAAAAAAAAAAAAAAAGGCGGGTGTACTTCTAATATGCTTCCTTTTAGGGGGAAAAAAAACGTATGTGTGTGGGAGAACAAATTTATTTTTTCTTGCACATGCACAAAGAAAGTCTAGAATATATTACATAACTAATATAAATGGTTACCTGGGGAAGTGAGGGGGAACCTGGGCAAATGGACAGGAGTAGAAGATGACTTTTCACTATATACTTTTTTTTAATAAATTTTCTTATTTTTAAGCCTTGAGAATGTTATTATTCAAAATAATTTTTAAAACTCCTAACAGAAATCTAATAGATCTTCACATTAAAAGTATTATCACTGAATAGAGTAAAATACTGAACCTGCATCACTGTCACTGCTCCATAAGTCACAGCTGTCCAATAGATAGAGCCAACCATTATTCCTGCTGCAGCAAATGGACAAGCTTTTGAGATCAGTCTATCTGCAAGATCCAAGACGTAAACAACTGGACCTATAATAAAAGAAAGTAATATTTCAACACAAGACAGATATTTAAAAAATGACTTGTTCAATATTTTCCAATGATCTAAAATGTTGTTACGAAGTTGGATGTTCTGATGCTTTAGAGGTAACTGTTATAAATGTGATGGGAACCTAGATTTGAATAAACTTAGAATTTCTCAGTTGTCTTGATGAATAGTTAAGTTCTGCTTCCTAAATTCTAGGAAATAGCTTCTTCAAATTTTTATCTTTATCAGTAAATCAAATAAAGCCTCAAACGCAGCTGCTTCTTATGAAAAAAATAGTTCTCTTACTTATTTTATTCACACTGGCTACTGCAGAATGAAATGGCCATTTCAGAACAGTTCCTGCCCATAATTATATTCTCTAGTACTTGGTAAAAATATCACTTCTTTGACTTCACTCATTACTTCCTTGGTGCAGTATGTGAAGGTATCCAGTGCTATTTTCTTGTAGTTATAAGAAGTCAATCTATCTTACGTTGATGTTTCAATATGCAACATTTAGTTGAGTAGTATTCTCTACAAACTTTTTCCCCCCAAGCTTTTATTTAAATTCTATTTAGTTAACATATAGTGTACTATTAGTTTCAGGAGAATTTAGTAGTTCATCACTTACATGTAACGCCCATCTAACAAACTTCTTTTAATGATCACCATGCGAGTTTTTATGACATTCCAACAGCTGTATGTGCCAATTATACTTCTATTATTAAATGCTTACTGTGAAATTTGGCTACTACCTTTCTCTGTAAGTTATTTAGAATAGCTATATTTGGAGGTATTCTAGACTGCTTTTAAGCCCAATACAATTTAGCTCCAGAATTTTTCAGAATAGTGAAAGGGTCTCAGGACTGAATTAGAACAAGGCCTAAAGAACTGAGTATCTAAGTTTAATCAAAGAAATATAAAACCTTGATTTAGTAATCATCATATTTGTTGAATACCCTCCACATACAAACTATCACTTGAGACATTTTCTTAGAAATGTATAAGAATTATTACCTACCTTCTGAGGGCTTACAATCTATGAGGACGCTGTAGAATGTAAAAAATTATTTTTATTGTAGAAAGAAATTAACATAGCAATATGAGATAAACACGTATGAACAAGCATCGATCTATAGAGCCTTGATCAATACTTCCCCTGATCGCTAGAGCCAGTAACATTACTAGTCACTGTAAGAGAGACCCCATTGTGAAGTAGAAAGAACATTGGGAGCCACATTAAAGGACCTATGATTTCAATTCAGTGTATTTACTATCTCCTCTAACAATAGTTTGCACTTCTTAAGTCTACATGATACCAGCTGCTGTGCCCCAGGCATTACATGCATCATTATTCAATCTTATAATGTATAGTTTTATCCTTAAAATATACAAATTTGCTGGGTTAAGTTTAAAACTCCCTCAGAAGGCACAATAGAAGTCATTTTAGTGAGTCACCAAAGATCTGTCAAATGCTGGTACTAAAAGTTAAAGACCATAAAGTATATATAAAACCTCCACACTTCCAACTTTCATATTCTCTACTGATAATCCTTTAATCAAAAATTGAAGCCACAAAAGAACAAGTCCAGACTCTCCACAGCACATGCAGCCACTACCAACATCACACCTATCTGATGTCAATCCCTCCACTGACATACCAGATCCCATCTCTTGCCAGCTCAAAGACACAGCTCCAGCAACGGTTTCCTACATCATTTCCTCTCTACTCTTTATTGGAATGTTTCCAATCAGACATATTGTTGTTTCTTCTATCTTAAAAAAAACCAAATTATCGTCTTGATCTTTCTTCCCCCGCTGCTTGATCTTTGCTCCCTTTACAAAATTCCTCAAAAGACTCATCTGTTTTCACTCTCCTTCAATTCTCTTGAATCCACTCCACCAAAATTGCTCATAATGGTCACTAACAACCTATGAACAGCTGAATGCAAAAGGGAGGACTATTTGGCCTAACAGAAGTATCTGACATGGATATTCCCTTCTTCTTCCTCATATATGGTTCTTCATTGTACTTCTAGGACATCATCATCTTTTGGTGTTCTTTCCATCACCAGTCATTAACTTTTCAGTCTTCTTTCTTGGTTCCTCCTCCTCTTCTTGACCTCAGTGAAACCCACCCTGCCAATTTCTACCTCATGATACTCTCTATTTACTCTGCATTATTTTTCTTTTTCCCAAAGCACTTACCACCTAACGCACTCTAATTTATTAGAGTAAACATACTCTAATAAACTAGTATAACATACTCATTCTATTTCCACCTGTGAGAATAGGGGCTGGGAAACTATGGGCTAGGCCAAACCCAGCTGGCTGCTTTTGTAAATAAGGTTTTATATGGAACATGCCACATGCAAAAGCCTAAAATATTTACTGTCTGGTTTATAACAGAAAAAGTCTGCTGACTTTTGAACTAGAATATATGCTCCAAAGGGAAAAATAACACTTTTGTTTTGCTCACTGATGAATCCCAATTCCTATGATTCTAAATATTTGAATTCTCTACTAAGGTACTTATGTAAAACTACGCCATGAAAATCTTTCTGTACCAAGCCCAAGGTAACTATAGGGGTATTTTCTACTGAGTCAGAATCAAAATTGGTAAGGAAAGAAGGTATTTTGCATGCTTCCAATGTAACTTCTTCCTCCCTCTTCAACAGGGTACATCCATCAGTAGATAGGATGAAGCAATATAATTCCTAACATGGTAGTCAATCACTATCACTTTTATCTATCATGAGCATGGACAATTTAGAGATGTTTGAATTGTCTTCCTTTAAAGATTTCAGAAGGTTCAATTTTCTTCCTGAATCCACGGGTGTGAATTCTTTTTGTACAAGCAAAAACAAACAAAAAATCCACTTCTGGAAATTTTCTACTTATTCCTTGGGTCACATACAAAAGATGTGCCGGATTACATGAAGACACTGGCTGTGTTTCATAGTCCTTATTTCCAGTTTTTCTGAAATAATCTTGTCTAATCTTTTGTCTTTATTTTTCCTAAAACTCTCCATGCTCTTCCAGATAGACTAGTCCAAGAATAGTTTAATAAAGATAAATGCCTAATAGTAAACATACCAACAGAACAGTAAATTGCCATGCAGGGGAGGTATTTCTTAAAGATTATCTAGGCAAGCTATTTAGTGAATAAGAACAATTACTGAATTTCTCTAGATGACAGTCCCTGAGTCACTCTTCTTACTAGGAAGCTTACCATATGCTACTATCTCATAACTTGGGATGGAAAGAGAAGTTACTAGATTCTTCTTACTGTCAGATTATAGCACAGAGAGTAGTGGGAAGTGAGGAAAGGCAAGACTAGCCATCTACAACCTCAATTCTAATGAAGAGGAAGAAGAGTAAATGCACATCACATAAGTTAAATACCTAAGGGCATAAAAAGACTTCAATGTTTTAAAAGGCATTTTGAATTTTTAACGTCTTGGTGGGCTTCACCACTTACTTTTCAATGTACTGTATTTACACAATGGATGGCAATTGAAGAAGCTCTGTATAAATGTAAGTTTTGAAAACCCAATAATTTAAAGGGCACTAGGGAAGCTCGCAATTAAGAGAGAATCTATTGCGAATTCTTTTGTACAATAAAGAAGCTTTTGTAAAAAAAATAACTACACCCTAGTATTCTGGATAAATTCAAATTTTCACATTTCAGATATGAATGACATCAAACAGCAAGCTGAGACCTAATGGAGAAACTCTTAAGTCCATGTCTACTGAAAAATAAGTCATCAGTTTTATCTGGAAGACACTGCAAAAGGAGGTTTGTTGCACCGTTGATTTACATTCAAATTCATGTATGCATGGTGTTAAAGGTACATCTTGGAAGATAAGAAATTAATGACTGAAGGGCAGAAAATATTTAGGGCTCAACATCTATGGGCACTGCTCACTGTAATACCCAGAATTCCCATGGCCTTTCTCTGGGACAGAAAAGTATCCTTAAAAAAACAAAACAAAACAAAAAAAAACCTCTGACCAATTCTTGAGAAATAATTTCTACATGTTGCCAGAATGCTATAAAGTTTCTAACACAGAACACAATTTAATGAGCAAAAATAGATGTTTCACAAGATAACCTTGTATAAATTCCTGAGAAGATAATAGCTTTACTGAACTCCAAAGTTTCTGTTAAGTGGCCAATAGTTCATAAAAGAGATTTAATAAGACAGACTGTTTGCAAAAGGTATTCAAGTTTCCAGTTTTTTTTTTTGTTTTTGTTGTTTTGCTCTGCATTGAACTAGTTTTGATCTAGACCCAACTTAAATGCCAACTTGCTAAGCCAAAACAACCTCACCTTCAGCTTCAGAACCATCCAGAACTGCAGATTTTGGAGGCCACCAAGAGTCCAACAATATAGTCCTAAACTTCTCTCCTTGCTCCAAGTCTTCTTTTTGTTGTGTTCTATTTCTGGAATGTCCTGTCCCTACCTACTTTAAGTCTATATGAAACCCAACTTCCCAATGAAAACTAATCTAACCTGACAGAGGTTGACTAATTGCTCTACCCCACCCTGTTCATGTCCCATGAGGCTTCCTTTAATACTATCCCATAAAATGCACTTACCCCTTTGCTTGTACATAATGTTAGTACTTTATGTTCTTGTTCAATGTTTGTTCAGTTGTCTCAATATCCTTATGTCTGTCCATGTCAGCATCATCATAGATTGAAAACTCCCAGGGGGCAGGGGCCAAGTCTGTTTAACTCGTTTTGTACAGTGCCTAGGATAGAACCATGTACAGATAGGTGCTTAAAAAAAATGCTTTTGATGATGATTGGCATCACTCTCAGGGACTCTGTAGGCCACAGCTATCTCAGCACATGGTACTTGGCAGTACATTAGGGCACTTTGGCCTGTTGCATAGGATATTAAAATATAATGGCATAGGACCTAGCTGCAGCACTCTGTGGCAAGTATTTGACTCAATCCATTGTTAAAAAAGGTCCTTTAATAGGGGTGCCTGGC